TTTGTTCCATGCCTGCCAGCTATTTCATATTGTTGCAATAATATGACTGGTAGTTTATTGACACAGAAAAATAAGTTGACTCAGAGCCAGGTCATACAGACCAATACCCTGTTATGTTCTGCATGTTCTGAAGTTTGTTAGTATTAAGAAATTTCACAAACCTTTATGTAGAACCCATCAAATTAAAGGTCAATATGAACTGTGACGTCTAAAATGTCTTGAGTTAGAGCTGACCACTGGGCAGCACTTCCTGTACCTGTGTATGTGCTCACGGTGCTTTTCAAGGTTTTAGGCTTTATAAGTTCACAGAGAATGATGTTCAAGGCCATACCCCCAGGCCCTGAATTCAGTGCTACAGTCCTGAATGATCAGTCTTAGGGTACACCTTCAATAAACAATACCCATATTTGTGTGGTTTGTGAGGCAAATCCTGTACTGCAACAATCTGCCTTCATATGTTATTTGCTCTTTTCCTCTTGCATCTTTTAAATATTCTTTCTTTGTTTTGTATGTTTAATTGTTGATTATTATGTATAGAGGAAAATTTCTTCTCTGGTTAAGTTTATTTAGTGTTCTATATGTGTATTGCACCTTGATAAGGATGTTGTTCTTTAGGATATGAAACTTTTCTTCTGTAATTTTTGGACAACACCTTCAAGGCCTGTAAAAGAGTCTTTTATTATTCTAGAAGTAATTGTTGTCTTGGGGGATTGCTGCCTCCATCTGTAACACAGGCCTAGTCCTGCATGCTTCTGGCCTCCATACAATCTAATCGAGGCCTCGAATGTTTTCAGTTTCTGAAACTTTCTGCTGAATAACCTCACCCCGTCTTAATCCTTCTTATTTCTGGCTGACTGATTCAACTCAGCTGTTCTAGCTCAAACTCCCCTCCAGAGTAACTGATTCAAACTTGCTTCTCTCTCAGCCTCTCCTACATTGCTCTGCTTGACCTCATACTACCTATGGCAATATGATCTTAATTTTCTGGTCTCTGGCTCATTTTATCTTCCCCTGTGTCTATCTTGTTGTCTCTCTGAAACCTCTTTCTGTAAAACCATCCCAGCGTAACTGCCTCTTCTCCTTCTCTGCACTGCCCCTCAAGTATCTTCCTGTTCTTGTGTTTTCTCATAAGAGTTGGGCATATCCTAATCTGTCAGATCGTTCTCTGATTTGTCACTTTGCTTGCCACTCAATTACACATTACATTCAAGCATGAGTGCTTCCTTCCACAAACTAAATTTAACTTCATTGTTAGGTACTAAAGGTATGATCTAAGGGCATATTTGTATTACTGCCAGAGCGACTAAAGGTGTGTGCTAAGGGCTGAGCCACACCACAATTAGAAACACAATTCCAGCTGGAGCAATGATTCCCTCCATGTGGACTCCTTGCTTAGTGTTTTAGTACCTCGCAGCTCTGGGGCATCAATTGGAAGAGAGGTCACTGGTCCTGTGAAGGCCCAGTCTCCAGTGTAGGGGAATTCAAAGGCAGGGAGGCTGGAGTGGGTGGGTGGGTAGGGGAACACAATCATAGAAGCAGGAGAGAGGGTATGGGATAGGGGGGTTCTTGGGATGGGTGGTTGGGGGAGAGGAACCCAATCCCAGAATTCACAGTGTGATCAAATGTCCTGCAACAGGGGCCTTTGGATTTGCATTTGTCACCTTACTCCATTTTTATAATTTTTACATTTGGTCTTTTAATAGTATGCGAGATTTCCTAGATGTTTTGAAACAGGATTTATTAGGTTTAACATTTTCTTTGCCAAATGTATTATTTTCTTTTATGGTGTCTTCAAAGACTGCTGTTCTCTCTGCCAGTCCTTGTGTTCTGTTGGCAAGCCTTGCCTCTGTAGCTCCTGTTCCACTTCTATACTTTTCATTTATAGATTTTCCTCTTTTTGGATTTTCTTTATTGGTTTTATTTCCACTTTCAGATCATGAACAGATTTAGTCATTTCTTTTCTATGTTTGTTTATGTTTCTGTAGATTTCTTTAAGAGATTTAATTATTTCCTTTATAGGATCTCTACAATGTTCACTAAATGTCTTTCAAGTTCTTTAATTTGTGCTTCAATTATGTTGGAGTATTTGTGGCCTGGTGTGGTAGGGTATCTAAGTTCTAGTGGAAACATTGTCTTTGCAGTTAAGGATTTTGCTTTTATGCTGTCACCTTGGCATCTGGCACTGAGAAGATTGTAATTCTAGGTATTGATATCTGATCTTACCTTTGTTGGGTGGGTATTTAGTTCCTTGGTTTTGGTTGCCCTATCTGGATCTTCAGAGTGCCTCCTGGAGTTGGAGGCTGATACAAAGCAAAGATTCAGGGAAAGTAATTTTGGAGAGATGTGTCTGTGTGAATCACTGAAGATAGGTACAGGGGTGTAGTGAATCTTCAGCAGGTGATCTGATACAGAGATGACGATGAGACTTGGTGACAATTCTACTCGGTGTAATGGAGGGGGGTTGGAGATCTACAGTGAGCTTCCTGATTATTTCATAAGAATGGTCTATGGATTTCCAAAGATTTCATGCTGGAATAGGAGTTCGGAACAAATTATAAGGGGTCAAGGGCTGGTTAAGAGGAAGAGATGTGTGTGACCCACTGAAGATAGGGCCAGTAGAGGGAAGGAAGGTTACAGCAGGTATGATGCTGCAGATCTGGGGATAAGACAGTGAGATTATATTTAGAAGAGCAGCAGGAGATGTGAAGGCATGTATTTATTCTACCAACTTCTCTGGCTACAGTCTGAAATATTATTTTTTCTCACATGAAATATGAAAAAAAGCAAAAATGCCATCAATTAAAATTTTAATATTATAAAATCTAATGTGTGCTAAATAAGACAATAAAAATAGCATCAGAAGAATGCCAAATAATGAAAGGAAGATACATAGATATAGTAGAAAATTAGACTCTTAGTCTTAATTTTCAATGATGAAAAGTAAAATCTCATGTGATAAACACAAGAAATTAAACTTTTATACATTTATTTACATTTTAACCTGAAGAAAGACTTTCTTAGGCAAATTAAATGAGCCTGGATATGTGATAATCAAGCTATCACTGCACAATCATTTTCCTAGTCCATATGATAGCATGTGGGAGGATTATATGTAGAAATAAGACATTAAAAAGGAGGATAAAACATCATTTCTTGTTCAGGTATCTTAAGCTGCTCTAGGACAAGCACAAATCCCTGTTTCCAACTAAAATTTATGTTGGCCAATTGAAAATTACATATGTGATGTTAACCTCATGGATTTGAGGTAACATTTCTGGAAATTCTTCAAATAAAAATGATTTTGTTTGGACATTCACATTAGTAGAAACAAAAGATTAAATTTGGAGTGTATTTCATCCACTAACACATTAAAATAAAGCAGTTATTTTCTAAATTAATTAGAATTTTTGGTGACTGGCTTTCTTTTGTTGTTTCTGTTTATTTTGTCAGGATCAGAGAGCTGTGTGTCAGGTTCTCTGCCTCACAGGCTCAGCTGTATATTCTGCTATAGTGTGAGATACTATAGTTTGCATGGCAATCTACTCACTTCAATCTGCATGCTGATGAGATTGAAGTCATGAGCCTCCAAGCTTGGTTCATAAAGGAAGATGTTCAACATATTTTTATAGAATAGACTATTGATGGCTGATAGCAAAGCTAACGTTTGTGTTTGTCATTTAGATGGTAATTTTAGCTTCTGAATAGTAGAGAATGAGGATTCTTAGGATCCCTAAAGATCAACAGGAAGGGAGAAATGGTGGGGAAGCTTGCAGTTAAAATTTCCTTGATATGCCTCAACAAGAAACAACAGTTGACAGAAGAAATGTGAAAGAAAGTCCAACTACAGTCTAGAATACAAAAGCTCACAAATGTGACCACCAGCATCAGGATGGTGTGGGCTGCTCTTGTGTCAGCATAGGCTCTGTGGTTCTGATTGGAGGAGTGAATGTGTTGCAGTCTGTGGTGGTGTCTGTTCAGGAGAATCACCATAGAGACATTGGTCTAGATCATTATGCAGATGAATACTGTGTCATGGGCAAACATTCAGAAGTTCATGCCTCCACTGGAACCAGAGTTATAGCAGACTCATTTGTCTTTTAAATCAGTGTCATTGTGTGTTTTCCATGGATCACTCACTTCCATTGGGATGTAGGCATTATTTAAGACACTGAAAATCCAGCAACTGTAACAAGAATAACTCATTCTTCTGGAGGCTTTTCCTCTGAGCATCACTCTGCTCCAGTTACCAGGAATAAGTGTAACAAACTGGTAGGTGCTCAAGACACAGGTGGAAGACAAGTTTGTGCTTCTAGCCACTAGGCAAATGAAGGACCAAAGTTTACATGAGAGGTCACTGTGGGCCTTCCTTGGAGCAAATACTGTAATGTTTAGAAATACCAAGAGGAAGAGATCGAATGCACTGGCCTCAGCTATGTTTGTTACTATGACCTGTATGAATTTCAGTTGACAGTTCGTCAAAACTGCAGAAAAATTATGGATGAACAGAAGGATGTTTGCCACAGTCCCAATCCCAACCTGGCAAAGCAAAAATATATAGTCACTTCCTCCATGGTTTTCAGGGTTTTATTCTGAGACAGCATGGCTTCATTGGACAATGGAGTAATGTTCAAGTTTGACAATCCTGCCTTCCATGGTCTCCTCAATTGTCTAAGCTTTTCAAATGATTTGGAGTCTTTTTTTTTTAGAAGAAGGGTGGAACTACTGTATGACACTGCAGGAATTATGTCTGGAAAATGCTTTATGAACATTGATCTAGAACACCAATTTTACAGTTATTTTACTTTATTTTCCTTCATGAAGGAAATGTGTATATGATCCAACTCCATCTCTGTTGATCAACAACATGACATAAATTTTAGCACAGTATTGGCTCTGCATATTTATTCATGAACGTTTATACACAGGAATGCATTTTTGCTTCCTTAGCATTCAACATCTTTCCTCATGTTATAACAGTGTATTAAGAAATACAGGGGAGAGCGGTGGGGCAGAGAGCGTGACTCGCCCGCTCCAGTGCCACCGGTTCCCGCTGCGCTTGCCGCCACCGTCGCCGCGCAACCATGTCGGAAGAGAAGCCCAAGGAGGGTGTGAAGACAGAGAACGACCACATCAACTTGAAGGTGGCGGGGCAGGATGGCTCAGTGGTGCAGTTCAAGATCAAGAGGCACACCCCACTGAGCAAGCTGATGAAGGCCTACTGTGAGAGGCAGGGCTTGTCAATGAGGCAGATTCGATTCCGGTTTGATGGACAACCGATCAATGAAACAGACACTCCAGCCCAGCTGGAGATGGAGGATGAGGACACCATCGATGTATTCCAGCAGCAGACAGGAGGAATAGCCTCCCGAGGGAGCGTCCCCATACCCAACCATTGTCCTGACATGTGCTATTGAGCGGTGACCATGCAGCCACATCAATCACACAAGAGTCAGCAGAAGCCAGAGTCACCGAACGATTCTCCTTTTCCGACGCGCTTGGAGTGAACTACGTACAGACCGCACTGCAGGGCGAGAGCATTACATAACGTGGCCGTTGGGAGGGTTTGCTTTGGGGGAATGAGGCGTGAGGTTTTGGGGTTTGTTTTTGTTTTCATTTCTGTTTTCCTCCCATCCCTAAAATTTTTCCCCCAAACATGGGTCTGGATGTAGACTCTCACCCTATGGCCTGAGTCTAATTCCCTAGAACTGTGGTTTCCTCTGGTGTGACTTGTCCTGATCAGGTAGAGAGAGCTTGTGGTCACATTACCCAATGGGCATGCCTGTGGGATGTGGGGAGGGGCAGAGAGGCAGAATTCCACCTGTTTGTTACAGGCATAGAATATTTGAAATACTGTAAGTTTGAGCTTTGTCAAGCATATGGTAAAGTTAAAGGAAAAAGACCAATGCTTCTTAAGAAACATGAGGAGTCTTCCTCCTGTGGCCCAGGCACTCCTGCACATGCCCACTTCCTTCTCAGTATCTGGTAGTGGGTACATGGATAAGGGTGGTACAATGAAACCCACTCTCTTCCCTTTTTATAATGTAGAAGAAAGAAATTGTCATGTCTCATTTGGAAATTGAATGTGGCCTCAGATTTCTTCTAGTACTTGCTTTCGATATGTAATTATGGTTTCTGTGTAAGAAGGTAATTGGTTAAGTATCACGTTTTCAGCGATGTTGTGTAAGAGACCTGCTTTCAAGTGTGGTTGCAAAAGCAAGCCCGGGAAAGGTGACCTCATTCTCACGGATTGTGCTGTGCAGCTTTCCAAGTGTGTATTAAAGTGACACATCAGTGGGAGACTTCAGTTCTGCATTGTGGGGTCAGTTAAGTGTCCATAGTTCCTGCCGTCATCCTTCTGTAAGGATCCATTGCTGCTTGATGGCCATCTCTGCCTTTTATAGTCACCCGACACTGACCTACCATCTCTTGCTTGCTTAAAGTCCTGAGGAAAACGGTCCTGTTCCTGTTTGCTGCGTGGGCCTGGGTGGGATGTCTGTCGGCTCTGTTGTGTTTATTCACCGGTTTGTACATTATCTGTTGTCCTTTACTGCTACTGTAAACAGTAAATATAGTTTGGTAAAAAAAAAAAAAAAGAAATACAAATTAGTTGTTGGAGGGTTGTTTCTGAATCTAATGCCCTCTCTTCATGTTTGTGACACTGCATTCATATATTTCCAGCCACACATGCAAGAAAAACAATCATATACATGAAATAAAGTAAGTACATCCTTAAAAATACAGTTTAGGCCTGGAGAAATAGCACTTGCTACTCTTCCAGAAGGACCTGGGTTCTATTTCCAGCATTCAGGTGGCAGATTATAACTCTCTGTAGCTCCAGTACTAGGGGATCAGGCACCTTCACAGTCACACATGTAGGCAAAAGAACAATGTAATATGATTTTAAAAATCAATAGATCTTTAAAAATGTAATACAAATTAAAAATATATACTTTATAAAAGAATATGAATGAAGCATGTCTCCCACAAATAATCCATCTAATTTTGATATATTTTATGCTACACATCATAGTGACTGAATATGACATATTTCAGAAAATATCACTAATGTTCTGTGCATAAGAAGAACCTTGACTTACACATATATCAACTATATGGGAACAAATCCAAGGGACACAAGTGTATCATTGATGCAATACTGTGGGGCAGTTTGCTCACACGTGGGTGGGCGTGGGTCCTGTTGGACGGAGTTGTGGTTCCCTTAGCTCCTGGGTACAGAAGTGTTGGAATTTGACTGAGTTCACTCCACGTGGTGCTTGGCAGATGCTGTGGGGCTCCGCCCAGGCGTGGGGAGACCTCAGTCTGAGGTCTCACAGGGGCAGGGCTTCTGAGAGAGGGTCTTTGGGCCAATGGTTGACCCAGAGGCCAATGGTCTCCATCTTTGGGCCTCCAGATGGAAGTCACGGAAGAATAGAGACAAGAGGCACAGGGGCTGGACTGGCCCACAGCTAAGAGGAACAAGGGGGAGGGAAGCCCCAACAGTGCATTAAGACTCTTGGTACAGCACTCGCTTGGCTGGATCAAGGCTTGGATCAGCTAGCTTGGTTGAATTGGTGGCCTCCATGGCAGGAACATAGAGAAGTCCTCAGCGGGAGATTAGGTAGTGGTGACTCATTAGTTAAAGACCTTCTCCATGGTTCCCCATGGTTGGGGTGGGCGGGGCCAATGACATGAGGAAGTCCATGGTTTTAAAGGGTTTATTGTCATGGCGGAAAGTAGATGAATCTGGCTGCACCCCCTGGACCTCAGGGCAGACCTGAGTTAAATAGGAAGGGAGGAGGGAGAAAGGTCTGGTAAGGAATGCTTAATTGGCTATGCCCTCTGGCCTTTAGGTATCTCATTAATATGGAAATCTCTTGAGGCCCTGAGGCCTGTAGTCACGCCCTCTACCTGTGGAAGGGCTGGTGACTGAAAGGCGTGGATCAATGGAGGTCTTTGGCCAAGTGTCAGGAGCCTGGGGTCTGGGAGTGTGTCAAAATATATGCCATCCCTTGCAGGGGCTCTGGCTATCTCTAGCCAGTGTTCCACCAGAAACCAAGCTATCCTTTCATGATCTCACACAATACATTTCTGAATTTTACATTTTTCTAAGGTATCAGTTACTGGACACTTGTGCCTCATCTGCAACTTTTTTCACGCACAATCAAAACAAATAAGACCATCATTAAAGTCTTTGAACTCATAGATTGTTTGAAACTTAGATTTTGAAAGTTCATGTTAATCTGTAACTTACTTGGTTTATTTTGTTTTCCATAGGAATATTAAGCCTCTATCTACAACTAAAATCCTGTCCTCTCACATATAGATGTCACATTAAGGAACATTTTCAGATGAATCTTGAGCCATGAAATAGAAATTTATTTACATAATTAGATAAACTTTGAAGACAAAAATGAAACCATTTCTATGATTAGTTTTGGCTTCATAAAAAAACTGTGTATTGGAGAAGGGAGAAAATAACTTTAAACAGAAATCTACAGTTGTAGAAATCTCACCTACCCATAGTAAGAATGATGATGCTCAGACAGATGCAAGTCTGCTCCTGAACAACTACTCCAGAAACACAGCTCTGAATTCCACTTCCTTTGAAGAACTTCTCTGTGTAGCTATTTCCTAAGATAGATCCAAAGAAATGTCCACTTGGTCCATATTTTCCATGAGGTGATGTAGAGCTCTCAAATCTCATAAAAGGACAGTGACTGTCTCTTATATCCCTCAGAGAATGCATTCGTGTGTCATTTATGGTGTTATTGGCAATGTCTGTGTGGGGATGTTGGACTGCTTCTAATGAAAGGAAAAAAAATTGCCCATGGAGAAAAATCACAATTTTCAATTTCTGGTAATTAATGATGATGCTCAAGTGTTTGTTAGATCTTATTGAGTAGCTGAGCAGAAGTTGAAATAAATTTTCCTTGTTTTCTTTGAGAGATTAAAGTTCTGAATTGCTGTTGTCATTAGGTATGGAGATTGAGGGATGTGTTAGGTGTATTTTCAGGGGGCTCATTACACCAAATTTGATGTAGAGTCTTGTATTTTCCCATGTGTGGACAAAAACATCTTAGTCTGACAAATCAACATCTAAAGCCTGCATTTCCCCCCATGAGTCTGTGTGTTATTTCAACATCTATTTGTTTTAAGGTAGCTCATAACTCATTGTCTTAGACACTACAGTTACTTATGAGGAGTATAACTGACTGTGTATCTTTCTATAGTTTTACAGGTAAAGCATCAATTCTGTATATACAGGCAAGGATATGCATTGTGCAATCATTAACTATATAGAGGCCCATTCATGTTCATTATTGCTGTAGTCTTTAGTAGCCATGAGATAGATGCTAAAATGTCCATCAGGTGATGAATAAATAACAATAATGTGGAACATTTATACCATATGAGACTATTCATGTGTTAAGCAAAGTAAAATTATGAAGTCTGTACATAAATGAATGGTTGAGGCGCAACCAGCCTGCATATGGTAACTCACAACTTAAGACAAACATTGCCCATTTCTCTAGTTTGTACACATTATCTTTAAATCTTAAGTGATGTGTGTTCCATTTGTACTACTTATATAAAGATCAGGAGTTAAATAAACAACTTAAGGTTAAGGATCTTTTGATAGAACACAGTCATGAAGAGAATTAAAGGGGCTAATGGAACTTGGAGAGTGAAATTATGGTGAGGGGATGAAAGACAGTGTAGAGGAGAGAATATGGATTGAGTTAGTCATACTAAAGGCCCATTATAAAGGCATCATAGATAACTACTACTTTAGAATTTTAGAAATGCTTTCATGTGTGTACATGTGTTAGAGAAAAACAGTGTGATATATATATATGTATATATATATATATACATGTATATATATATATATACATAT